TGGTTTCCTGTTTGTAAGACCAGAGGCTGCTATGCCTCCTATTTCCCCAGCCACTGGTCTTGGCACATCCCTGCTGTAGTTATTTCTCCAGGAAGCAGTGATGTAATTCAGCTTCGCTTGTGGTGTGCGGACCGAGACTCTCAGACACATTCAGCATGTACAGGCCTAGTGTAGCTGCCAAAATTCACTACAATTCCCTGTGGTTGATGGGAACTGTAGTTTCCATCAACCCAGAGAGGAGAGGATATCCCTGCTGTTATACCTCCCCCTTGGCAGAGCAGATGCTGTTATCTTTTTGAATTACAGAGATGAGGTCATACAAATTCTATTAGACTTTTCTCCTCAATGGTAAGGATTTGCAATATTTTATTAACTGTTTTGTGTAGGAGGGTGCACTAATGGGTGATTATTTTGCCCATCCTGGAGTTCTTCTTTAATTGCTTGGGTAATAAAGTGTTTTATTTGGAGGTATCTGAAGATTTCCTGTGCTGAGACCTTGTGTAAATTTTGTATAGTGGATAAACTGATGACTCTTGTGAGGAAGATTAGGTTATAGATTTTATATGGGTCTTTGGAGACCCACTATTTGAAACGCAGAAAAAAACATGATGATGCAGACGAAGGTCGTGAGTGAGGGGCATTCTCTTACCAGAATATTTGCATTGTCTCCTGGGCTCCCCAGAAGTAGGAGAGAAGAGCTAGGCCAAAAGAGAAAAGGCCTAGGACGTGCAAGGACAGAGGCGCACTGCAAAAATAGCAAAAAATGCTAAGTTTTTATAAAGGAAAGGAAAAAATGCTCCAAGTAAGCATTTTAAAATATTTGATTTTTTTGTGCTTTTACATGCAATTTTTTAAGTTGGTGTTAAGGTTTCTTTAAAGTCTTGGATCTGTGTGCATTGTTGTTCTAGAGAAATGACCGGTATGACATTAGATATTGTCCTTAGGACAGCCTGCCCTGTGTTGGAAAAGGCTAGGAGCCAGAATCTCTCTCTCTCTCTCTATAGCTAAGTGTTCTGTATCAGCAAATTCTTTAATGTTCTTTTGTCATCCATATATTGGCTTCCCTGTAAAAATATGGCATTCATTACAGTTGCAATGGCAACCTCTGTTGCATTACAAAGAAGTGTCTTTACTTACATTTCACTGGAATTAAAGGCTGCTCAATCCACCACTATGGATTTGCTACTTTTTTATTCTTATTATTATTATTATTATTATTATACAGGACTTATATAGTGCCAACAGTTTGCTCAGTGCTTTACAATATAACAGGAGACAATACAGCAACAATACAGTTCAATACAAGAGGGATAGGAGGGCCCTGCTCCTTGGAGCTTACAACATAAGAGGGAGGGGCTAGTGGTACAAAAGGTAGTAATTGTAGGGGATGAACTGATAGGAGTAGAAGATTCCATTATTAGCTGAGGGCAGGATAGGATTCCCTGAAGAGATAGGTTTTCAGAGATCGCCTAAAAGTGAGCAGAGTAGGCGATAGTCTGATAAATTAGGGTAGAGAGTTCTAGAGGATGGGGGAAGCTCTGGAGACGAGCATGGGAGGAGGAGATGAGGAAGCTAGAGAGCAGGAGCTACTTACTACTATTTGCCAGTTCTTGTTGCCTGACTATGATTCTGATTTAATACTTTTAACATTTCTCTCTCTCCTCTCTCTCTCCCTCTCTCTCTCTCTCTCTCTCTCTCCTGAATGTTTGTTTGTTCTAATTCACTGATTCGTAACGTTTTAACACTATTGTATCAGAATGAGAGGCAAGCAGTTAGTATTTTTTTAACTATTCTTTTGCAAGAGAACTTATAGGAGAAATGGTAAAATGCAAATAGTAATAAGAAATTAAAAATAAAATTATAAGAAATCAAAATGAAATAACATTTCAATGGTCTGTTTTTATGAAATATAGAGATTGCATGGCTGTAGGGTGTACAGGGTATGGAGAACTGGTAGTGGTAAATCTGTATGATCACTCTGGTTACGATGGGGAGGATTGGTGGCCAAATAGCTAAGCATAGATGCATTTGTTTCCAGAGAATTGAGTGTAAAGGTAGGCATAAGCATGGGTTGCTAGTGGGAGATTTTGCTTGAACTGCAACTGATTGCATAGGCTCTCCGCTTGATTGCTAAATAAGTGATTACCATGGATAGGTGTGGTGCAGCAATGGAAAGCTCAGGAGCCCCTCTCTGCAGGGGTACATTTTTTTTTTTATAAATTCTTTTTGCGGGCACAGGTGCCCTTCATAAAGGTGCTGGGAGTCGATCCTAAAGCAGATGTTAATCTAAATGCTTTGGAAAAAAATGGAGGAAATAAAGGTAGAGAGAAATGTAAATGTTTTATATATACTATCTATATATATATATATATATATATATATATATATATATATATATATATATATATATATATATATATTGCAGATTACCTTTTTTACATGCTCTATTCTGAACCCTCCAGCAAGGTAAAATCCTAAGTACTTCATTTGTAACTAGATTTGAACTCACCTATCCTAACAAAGAGTTAAATGTGTAGAGGTTGGGTTTCTTGCATTAAGTTAACTAGGACAGGCTTGGGACAGGCTGACTCAAACGTTATTAAAAAAGACTATGCTGTCAGCCATCTCACTTCCTCCTAAAGGAAACCTCTAAAGGTTAGAAATATTTTTAAGAATGATTTTTAGGCTTGCTGTGTTAATAGGAACACATAACAAACATAGTGGGGTTTACTCAAATTTGACAGCAAAAATGGAAATACACTATAAAAACTGTCCAATGACATCCCAACCTCCTAGCTCATTGCGCAACATGTGTTTCAGATTAACCTTTATTACAACAACTTATTTCTACAATATCGCATTTCATTGATTTTTATATCAACTTACTCAGCAATTTATTCAAGGTGGTTGTTTAGTCAGTCTAACCCTCGTGGAACAGCAAACCCAATGGTTGGTAATGCAGGATGCACTCCCCTCTCCATACAAAAAAAAAAAGGAATTAGGGGGACTGTAACCGACTTGTGACCATATATGTTATCCATATATATTATACACTATGTTTTGGATATTGGAAGTATTAGCGGGACAGGCCAGAAATGTGCCAACCATGTGTCCAATCTCAGACCACGAGGGGGAATTTTATTTCCCCAAACAGAATTTTGATGCGTGGACATGGCATTTGGCAGGCAACCTTTAGAAATAAAGGCATTTATCTTAAATTCCTGTGATTGATTATAGTTGTAAAATGCTGTGTTTTTTGTTTTTTTTTACAAACTGACAAACATTGCACCATCCACAAAGGACAAATATTGCACCTTCCACAATTTTCTCCATAGTGTACTTGCTGGAGCCGTGCTGTTATTGAGCTTGGTGTATATTCAGGATGGACCAGATATTTGCTCAAGATCTGTACTTTTCTTGTTACCATTATCGGCTGGGGGCCCACTATTTCAGGTCTCCTAGAGTCCAACAGTAAAAGATGTCAAATCTTGCCAACCCTCAGCTCTTCTTGAGCAGTTCCTGCCTTACTTTATTCTTTACCTTGTGCAAACTAATCATAGATCTTAAATGGCTATAGGGTCCTTATCATTTTAAAATATTCCATGGTAGTTTACTGGAAGATTTGAGAGGTTGAAAATTAACATAGAGAAGGGGGGGGGGGTGATAAGGTGTTTCAAAAGAAAGAAAGGACCAATATTAATTTTTAACTACAACTGTAGATTAAATTGATTTCTCCCTGTAACAATTGTAATAAGGTAGATACCAATATTTATGTTCATTGAAACTGAATATGATTAAGTACTGAAATGGGTATAGGACATATAGCATAATTACAGATGTAATTCTCTCTGGACAAAATGTACTGGAGACTAAATAGATAACAGAAAGCTATCAGCACATTAGTGAGGACCTAATTTTGATCACTTTGATCTCTCCCCATCATTTTGGGAATCTAATTCAAAGAAAGATTTAAGTGCATATATAGTCATGCCCAAAAATATCGGCACCCTTGCATTTCTGTCAGATAATGCACCACTTCGCCAAGAAAATTGTAATTACAAATGTGTAGCCATTCTCATGTTTATTTCTTTTGTTTTGTATTGGTTTAACACAAAAAAGTGGAGAAACAAAAGCCAAATCTGACATATTCCACACAAAACCCCAAAAATGGACTGGACAAAAGTATTGGCAGCTTAACAAAATTGTAAGAAATAATTGCATTCTAAGTTTGCAATGCTCCTGTAATTTGTAATTAAACTCACCTGTATCAGATAACAGATCTTAATGTTCCTGGGTCCACTCTGCGCAACATTGTCATGAAGTTTACAGCCGATGGCATTGTAGCTAATCTCCCAGGACGTGGACGAAAGAGAAAAACGTAACCAAAGATTGCAATGAAGGATTGTTTGAATGATGGCTAAAAAACCTCAATCAACTTCCAGACAAAGTCAAGCTGACCTTCAGGCACAGGGTATAACTGTGTCAGCTCACTCTATATGTCACAATCTGAATGAAAAGGGACGTTATGGTGGAGACCCAGGAGAACCCCAGAGAAACATTAAAAAGCCAGATTGGAGTTTTCCAAAACTTTTTTTCTTGAGGAAGCCAAAATCCTTTGGAAGAATGTGCTGTGGACAGATGAAACAAAATTACAGCTTTTTGGTACAGCCTGTCATTCTACTGCTTTCAGAAAAAGAAATGATGCCTTTAACCACAAGCCTACAGTGCACTTATACCCCCTTCCTGTCCAGGCCAATTTCCAGCTTTCAGCGCTGTCGCATTTTGAATGACAATTGCGCGGTCATGCAACACTGTAGCTATATGAAATTTTTGTAATTTTTTTGTGACACATAGAGCTTTATTTTGGTGGTATTTAATCACCTCTGGGTTTTTTATTTTTTCTTAAACCAAAAACCACTGAAAATTTTGAAAAAAAAAAGAAAAGTTTTTTTCTTAGATTTTATTATACAATTTTGTAAATAAGTGATTTTTCTCCTTCACTGATGTGCGCTAATGAGGCTGCAGTGATGGACACTGATAGGTGGCACTGATGGGCACTGAGGAGGAGGCACTGGTAGGTGGCACTGATGGGCATTGACAGGCATCACTGATGGGCACTGAAAGACAGCACTGATACATGGCACTGATGGGCGGCACTGATAGGTATTGATAGGTGGCATTGACTGGCACTGATGGGTGACACTGAAAGGCAGCTCAGATGGGCACGGCACTGATATGTGGTATTGATGTGCACTGGTAGGCACTGATATGTGGCATTGATGTGGCACTGATGGGCACTGGCAGGTGGCATGGATGAGCACTGACACAAGGCACTGATGGACACTGACAGGTGGCACTGCTGGGGCTACACTGATCATCAGTGCCCTGATGATCAGTGTAGATGTCCCCTCCGCGGAAAGCCGATTACCAGCTCTCCTCTCGAGCTGTCAGCGTGACAGCTCGAGAGGAGAGAAATGCCGATAACCGGCATTTCCCTGTTTACATTTGATCAGCTGTGATTGGACACAGCTGATCACATGACTGAGCCAACATCTTTGGCTCTTTCTGTAATCGGTGATCCGCTATGTCCACCATGCTGCGTGCTCCCTGAGCTGCGCATGTGCAGTGAGAATGGGAGGATGTCATATGACGTCCTCCCTCCCGGAATGAGAGAACCACCTTGCGTCCGTCATATTACTATGGGAGATGGGAGGTGGTTAAAGAAAAGAATACAGTCCCTACAGTCAAACATGGTGGAGGTTCACTGATGTTTTGAGGTTGCTTTGCTGTTTCAAGGCACTGGATGTCTTGACCGAGTGCATGGCATTATAAAATCTGAAGACGACTAAAGAATTCTGGGGTGCATTGTAGGGCCCAGTGTCAGAGAGTTGGCTCTCCGTTAGAGGTCATGGGTCTTATTGCAGGACAATAACCCAAAGCACATGTCAAAAAGCAGCCAGAAATGGTTTCAGACAAAGTGCCGGAGAGTACTGAACAGGCCAGCAATGAGTCCAGATCTAAATCCCATAGAGCACCTGTGGAGAGATCTCAAAACAGCAGTTGGGAAAAGGAACCCTTCCAATCTGAGAGACCTGGAGCAGTTGGTGAAAGAAGAGTGGCCCAAAATTCCAGTAGAGAGGTGTAAGAAACTCATTCATGGTTACAGGAAGTGATTGATTTCAGTTATTTTTTCCAAGGGATGTCCTATCAAATATTAAATTGAGGGTGCCAATAATTTTGTCCAGTCCATTTTTGGGGTTTTCCGTGGAATGTGTCAGATTTGGCTTTTTGTTCCTCCACTTTTTTGAGTCATACCAATACAAACTAAAGAAATAAACATGAGAATGCCTAAACATTTTGTAATTGCAAAAATTTGTTTGGGAGAAGTGGTGCATTATCTGACAGGAATGCAGGGGAGCCAATGCTTTTGGCCATGACTGTACTTGCTGTGTTTTTAAAAATAAGTATACTTGGTTTTTAACATTTAATGGTATTATTTTATGGTGTTTTAGCTTTATTAATGTAAAAATAAACAGGTTTTAATTCAGATCACTTTTTTTCAGTTATTTCCTTTGCCTTTTCTCTACATTGGAAATCATTTAACAGGACTATTAAGTACACAGAAGCTCAGGTAATGAAAATAATATACCAAACTGCATGTTGGTAATGCGTAAGACTTTTTCTGCATGGGTATCTGTTGGTTAGAGGATCATCTACCAAATAAATGCTAATATGTTTGACAGGTTCAGAACATTGCCGCAAATAGAGATAATGCAGTGATGATCAGCTAAGAAACAATGATTTGCATTTGGTTTGTTTTAATTAGCTTGCTTTTAAGGGCAGTTGAAAGTGCAGTTTTATATGATCATAATCAAACTGACATTATGCCTTATAGGTATCTATTAACTGTACTGTATCAAGCAGTAATTTTGTTGAGCTTGCTTAAGAATCTTTTGGCTGGCAGACATTATCCTTCAGAAAGGCATATTTATTAAGCTCTAATAAAATTTACAATATGTGTTAAATCTCAGAATTATGACCCTGTGAATTGGGAATATAGATTATTTGTGCTAAATCCCATTGTGTTTACAATAGTAGTTTAAAATTTGCCCGTTATTTGTATTGTCCAAAATAAAACCGTTTCTGCCACAAAGCGATCTTGTAAATTTTGGTGTTTTGGAAGGTCGTTGTCGGAAAGAGTAAGTCTTTACTAGGTACTGACTCATCTGTGGTCATATGGCAGGATTCACTGACCTCTTGTCACTCATTTGTAATATATGTAGTCCTACCCCAAAGGGGGCCACTGTGAATTTACAGGTTCTTTCCAAAAACGAGAGAGGCAGCCAGGCACACAGCAACTTTCCATACACTCTGGATCATTAAACAATCAAGAGCAGGTGTGTCGAACTCCATTTTTTTTGTGGGCCACATCAGCATTGTGGTTGCTCTCAAAGGGCCAGTTGTATTTCTAAGACTAGATGTTCAGAGCACCCCATTCCTCCTTACATCTGATGTCAAGAGCCCCCCACCATCAGAAGTCGAGTCCCCCACTCTCCCTTGCATTACAGTGCATCCCCTTAGCTTGTGCTGCTGCCAGGAAGAAGCTGGGGGCAGAGCTTGGAAAGTGCAGGGTTTGGAGGAGGACCAGAGGAGCGTGGGAGTCAGTTGCTGGAGTCTGCTGAATGCTGAGACCAGAGGAGGCAGAGACAAGGGGTGCTGCTGCTGCACAAAGAGGTACAGGATCTGTAAGAGGGGAGTCTGTCCTCTCTGCTATCGACTGCTGAGACAAGGTTGGGGCGGAGACTAGGGGAGTCTTACAGCTGCAGGAGAGGTGAGAGGACCACGTGAAATGGCCTGACAGGCTGGATTCAGCTGGTGGGCCTTGTGTTTGACACATATGGTCTTTTTAAATTTTATTTGCTTGTAGAAAAGGTAAGAGGAGGGCCTTTGGGGTGGTATGGGATACTCTAAAACGTTAGGTATTGCTAGCACAGGACACCTCTTGCTCAGTGATAGCAACACTGTCACACAAGTAAAAGTAGACTGAACAGTCTATAGGTTCATGGGTGGGGACCATTAAATTGGCCTGCGCATAGGAATAGGAGACTACACACAGAATCCTAGAACAGGATCAATCCATAGGTGCACCCTTTTGTAGAGTAGTCCAGTCCAAAGGGCTGCAGGGACAAGCAGGCCATCCTGTTGCTTCAGTTCAGATACATTCCCTCAGCAGGAAAAAAACCTCTCCTCAAAACTCCAGACTGTTTAACAACATCCCAGCCACCATCTGGGCACATCCCAGACACCATCTGGATGCGTCTCCCCTAGGGTTTGACTCAGTATTCAATCTGGTCATTTGAATTCTCCCTCTATAAACACTAGAAGTTTCTTCTAGAGAACTGGGGTAGCAATCTAATTCCCAGCCTGTAATGCCCTGAATAGACCAGACCAAACAGTTACTGCTCGCTGGTTATACAAGGAGCCACAAACTAAATTTACCCAGCAGCCTAACTAGGAGGGTGCTACATATGGTAGTGTTTAAGAGTAGTGTATGCAAGTAGAAAGGTCAGAAGTAAATAGACACAGGTTTCTTAGATAAGCAGTTCAGGTTGCTTGTTCAATAAATATAATAGTATCTTAATTACTGACTTAATTGTAACAACTTGGCTTGAGCATTACAAAATAATACTGCAACAGACAGACACCGCTTCATTATAGCAGCCTCCTAGCTTTCCCATGGGTTGATTTACTAAAGGCAAAGAGACTTTTTACTTTGTAAGGAAATTTGCATTTTGCATGAGAATGTCCCAAAGCATAGAGAATAAAGTGAAGCTCTGCTGACTTCCATCATCGTATCTTGTGCAAGCAAAATTTTTCCTAGGTATCCTATGGAAAGGGAAATTTCACCTTATTCACTCAGCTCTGGGGAAAATTCTTGAGCAACTTTGTTTTGCCTTTAGTATATCAACCCTGCAGTTTATAGGAGGATAACAACTGCCTTGTGATCTGCTCTAATCTTGTCACGTCACCTTGGCCTCACTCTGTTGTGACTTTAAGAGCTGATACATGTGCGGTATGGATTGCAGCTCAGGTTTCACAGCTAATCGATACTGTAGTTGTTCAGGTCAGGTTTACATCAAGTTCAGGTCAGGTTTTTAGCCTGTTCACTCATATGTGGTTTCGAAACGGTTCCCAAAGAAGTCCATAGCCTGTAATCCTCACCTGAACCGAACCGTACTGTTCAGAAATCGTACAGGACTCTTTTTCAATTTGCACTGAATCCACACTGGACATATGTGAACAGGCACCATAGGAAGCAATGTTATTTCACATGTCATGAGTATTGGATGTGGTTCCAACCACATCCAATCTGTATATATGTGAACCAGGACTAAAGGAGTTTCATTTAGGAAGTTCCTACTTAACTCTTCTGTTCACGTCTGACCACTGAAACTGTCTTAACAGAAGGACAGATCTGCACTGTTTTCTATGTCACTTCAATTGGAGCAACTGCCCCCCTCTGTCTGTCTCCGTAAACTGCTTAGGGCCAATGACAGGAATACAAATAGACACCTTACCTTCACTTAGAGCAATGGTCTCAAAACTGTGGCCTGAGGGCCGGATATTGCCTTTGCTTGCCTTTATCCAGCCCTTGGCATACTATTCCTCCCACCAATACAAACCACTATTCCTCCCACTGACACCAACAACGGGGCATAATTCCTTCCATTGACACCAATGGCAGGGAACTCTTCTTCCCACTGACAACAATGATAGGGCACTATTCCTTCATACCAACAATGGGGCAATATTCCTCTTATTACCAATGATGGGGCGTTGTTTGCTTCCAGGACATTTTCTGTTCTCATTGGCCACAGTCTGGCCCCCTCCGAGTCTGTAGGACAGTAAACTGACCCTTTGTTTAGAAAGTTTGGAGACCCCTGACTTAGAGCATTGCTAAATCAGTGAGATGTTCGTGACAAGTGCTAAAGATTCTGCAGTGTTTCATCCTTTTTACCAAGCAATGCCTGTTACGGTCTGTGGTGATGGGCTTTTGTTTGCGTCATGAGCATGCAAAACAACCTTGAGGTAGGTTGATGCAGCTTATAAAGACATTAAATAGAGATCAGAAGGAGGACAACTGCCAGTCAAATGCTTCTGTCCATAAATTCTGAATTTACTAATCCCAGAAGCATCTCAAATTGACCTCAAATGCAAGCTGCATGCACTTGAAATTATGCTGCATTTGCTCACCAACGCAAGCCCTTAGGTACAGTAAATTGAAGCTGTACTTCGGAGAGTCTGCTGTTGGCAAGGTGTCACCAGCCGCATAATCACCAGTGTGACATGGGTGACATTCCCTTTAAATCAATATGACCTTTACACGACAATGTAGCAAGCTTGGAAATGTTTTAGGCCAGATCAAGCTTGCTATAATATTCCTCATACTACCTTTTAATACCGCTGACAGATGTTACATTTATAATGCTGCTTCAGCTGCAGAACGCTGAATTCTGGGCACAGGTGAAAATGTTCTGTTAATAAAAATCCCCAGCCATGTTTTTTGT